TAAAGTATATTATAATAGTTTCTAAATATATTTATTATTTTAATAAAGAACTTATACTTATTAATATTTATATATAGTCTATTTTCTTTAAATAGTATAAAACTAATTTTACTTTTACTTTATAGTTTACTTTATTATTAAAGTTATATATTTAAATATTATTAAAATATATTATTATAAAATCTTTAAAGTCTCCTCTAGTATACTACTAGTATACTTTAAAAGCTTATTAGAGTCTTAGAAACTCTAAATAAGTATATAAACTATAAAAATAGACTAAAGTAAATATAAAATACTATATATTTCTTTTATTTTAATTATATTTAGAGTTATAGAAGACTAAATAGATATTAACCTTTATATACTATTCTACTATTAAAAGAGTATAGAGTAGTTTCTTTATTAATAATAAAAGGTATTAAGTATTTTTTATAATAGAAAGTATTTAAGACTCTATAGTCTATATAAAACTACTAATTACTAATTAGCTTCTTAATAAAAAGAATTAATACTATTATTAAAAAGAGCTAGTATATATTTACCTTTTATTAAGTAGAGGAATAAATTATTAATATACTTCTAATAGTTAGTTATAAAATATTTAATATAGTCTTTTATAAAATAAACTCTTTTTATATACTATTTAAGTATATTTTAAGTTATATATTATAATTAAACCTTAATTATATTAAAAGTAAGTTAGTTACTTTCTTTTCTATAAAAAAGTCTTTAACTTTATTATTTTATTATAAAAGGTACTATTTCTTTACTAAAATATAATATAATAAAGTATTAATCTTATATAGATATTATAAATATACTAAAGTACTATAGGTAAAAGGTAAAATAGTTTAATAGAGTAACTATAGAGTGTATATAAAGGTATAAAAATAGAGAAACTAGTTATATAACTAGATTATTAAGAATTATAGTAATCTAGTACTAATCTAAGATTATAAGGATTATAGACTAATAAAATATAATATCTTATACTTTTACTATTATAATAGTACTCTTTTTAGTTATTAGAGTATATAAATATTAAGTCTTTAAGTTATATAGTCTCTTCTATATAAAAAAAGTAACTATAGGGTTATTAGTAAAAGTAGTAGTATAGAAGATTAATAGTACAGTGAATAATAGGGTTATTATAGTTAGTGTTTTTTATAGATATAGAGTAGAATAGTATATTAGTAAAATCTCCACTATAAACACTAATAAAATGTACTTTCCTAAGTCACTCGCCTATAAACAGGAAAACTCAAGATTAGGGCATTAGTTCTAGGAACATACCTTTTTTGCTATACACGACATACGTCCGCCGTCCTTCTCCAATTTCCCCGCGCAATATTTCCGTGTGTATGGATGTCAATGAGGACGCAATGGAGCCGAGATCGCTTATCTTAGGAAAAGTTACAGCTCAGTCTCGTATGTATCGAAGTAAAGGTGGTCGTACCTTACTGACAGAGTCGGAAGGGTCCGCCGAGGAATTCACCTGCAAAGTTTGTTATAACGGAACACCTATTGCCACGGTAAAGCACAGCCGCTCTCACCTCATCGGCCGGAATGATATCCGGAAAGGAGGTGCTCTCCATGGTCACGATGGCACAGCCAGAAATTATTTGAAGAGGGTTCAGCTTAAGTTTTGCACTTGGAGGTGGTTGAGTTGGCTTTTTGTTGTTGTGCGGGAACCCCTGACAGTAGCTGCAACTGTGAAGCCCCGCCCGGGACCGCTGAGCTCCTTGATGTATATGCAGGCGACACGTCAACATTGAGCGTACTAGCCTTCGACGCTTGTTTTCTCCCCCGCGTTCACCCTGAGGAAACAGCCCAAAGGTGAACCTTACATCTATTTTTACATCTATTTTTAGGGAAAACATCCGAAGCACCCCTTTACCGCAATGAACCGCGCAGCGGCTGCTAAAGCTCTTGACGAGGCCAGGGCTCTCGTGGCCGAACTGGAATCCTACGATGGGACCGTCGAGCAGCACCAATCATTGTTGAACCGTGCTCATGGCGTACGCACTGCGATGGAAGGCCCTTATGAAATGGCAACCCGGTGGCTCGAGAACATGACCTGCGGCGCTGCCATGAATCTGCTGATCCGTATTGGCGCATTTGAGACAATTCCGCCGGAAGGAAGCATTACAGCGCCTGCACTAGCCTCAACATGTAATGTGGATGCAAGTGTCATTACGAGGGCTATGCGTGTACTTGTCGTGAGTGGCATTTTTCAGGAAACTGGACATGACGAGTATGCGCACAATCAGCGATCACTGGCCTTTCACCCGACCGCAGGCCTCGGAGGCTTCGTTGGAGTGTGTGTGGATATAATGCATGCTTGGATCACCATGCCAAACTACTGTAGCACACATGAGCCTCAGGAGCTGTACGACATCAGGAAGACTCCATTCGCATTCACAGCAGGCATGGAAGGCATGACATACTATGAGGTGCTGGACACGGATCCAAAGCAGCGCGGGCTGTGGAATATCACGCTACAAAACATGGCCAAAAATTTTCCAGTCCTCGGCATGTTTCCTTTCCACGACCTCAAAGCCCTCGAGGGACAAGGGTCGCAAGAGCGGCCATATATTGTGGACGTCGGTGGTGGCAGAGGCCAAGCCCTTCTGGCGATTCAAGAGGATTGCAAAGGGGCTTTCAGCGGAAAGGCTGTGTTGCAAGATACTCCCGCTGTCATAGACACCCTGCAATCCAGCGATATCCCTGGTATAAAGCCGATGGTGTATGACATTTTTACTCCGCAGCCAATAAATGGCAAGTATCTGAAGAGGAATTAGCACTCTGGACTATATATTAACGCCGCTGCTTAGGCGCCCATGTTTACCTCATGCGCCGCCTCCTGCACGACTTTCATGATTCTGAGGCGATCGAGATATTGCGAAACACTGCTTCGGCCATGGCGCCAGATTCCCGGCTGCTTATATGCGACATGCTAGTCCCGGACAATGTGGAAGTTTACGGGCCGATGACGCTGTATTGGCTAGACTTCTCTCTTCTCGCCATCGGGGGTAAGGAGAGATCCCTTCTTGAGTTTGAACGCATTTGCGCCCAGGCTGGTCTGGAAATTGTCAAGGTGTATCCATCTCGTGGTGACAATACTATTATGCTAGAGACGAGATTACAACGTCAGTAGGACTAACGGCGATAATGCCATTATGAATTACTCCTATGACAACGTACCAGTAAATTCATAATGTGCCACAAGGTAGTATTAATATAATAATGTTGTTGCTTAGATTATACGCGATTTAAATCTCTAAAGCAGTCGCCGTTAGTGTGATGGGCGTGGGGCTAGTTAGTATTAAGGCCTCGCTCTCACGCCGGTGTGGAAGGCTGCCACTGTAAAATCAGTGACTGCTGGCTGGCTGTCTCAAAGAGCCTTGTGCGAAGCCACGGTGCTTGTCGTAGGGCTAACTGGTTGGGTACAAAAGCACATTGGCGCGGTCCCGCAGCGTTAGGACTTCAACAACAGCGACACGAACGACGAGGAATCAGACGATAACGAACGTCTAATGGATAATGCCGATAGTGACCGGTACTATACTGTACCAGTACAGCCGACGCATTTACAAAGTTATAATTACTAGAGCAATTAATGCCACTACCACGTAAGGCGTTACTCTAGAATAAGTGTTAACTTATTAATATATGTCCTAGGCGGGATACGAGTGCGTCTATCGTCTAGAAACTAGCCTCTATACATCCGTTCACGGATGTTACTTAAGGAGCGTTAATAATAGATAAAGCTATTTTAACTGCTAGTAAATAAGAGAATTAGTTACTTACTTACACTATAACAGTGGCTTATCCCTAATCCACAGTTAGTCTGTTTCTTAGGTAGAGAGTCGGTTTAAATGCATAAAGTGCTAATAAGTAGTTATTATAGCGTAAGTCACGTTAGGAGATTACTCCTAATAGTAGAACTATTACTTAGATTAATTAGTAGAGATCTAGTCTAGCTATCTACTAGGAATCCCCTTCCTTATATATCCATCCTATCCTCTACTGTGTTACCTAGATCACTAGCTCACACTAAGGTAGTAATCCTTTCCTAGCTTATTAGCTCACTATAACCCTATAAGCCTATTATAGTCACGTGACTTCCTATCCTAATTAGGCGTCCTATAGGCGTCCCGCCTAGCCTCCTCCTTAGGCCGCCCTATGTCACTCTTATTCATTTATAATATTATACTCCTCCTCTATTAGTCTTATCCTTAAGGCTACTAAATTCCTTTTTAGTAGTAGGTTATAACTTCCCTCTTATATTATTATGTCCTAATATTATATTAAGCCGCGTTAAGAAGCCCCACTTATAGAAAAGTAATAAATGTAATACCTTAAAGGCTTTTATCGTCTTAAATAAGTATAATGTAAATATACCTTACTCTTACTATTTTAAGCATAAGAAGGAGTGTTATTTTATAGATAGTAAAACGTAATGTGAGTAGTGTGTTAGTTATAGTTATTCTTATAATAGTGTGATAGTGGCATCTTCCTATAGGTTCTTACGCCCTAGTTCCCCTTATATCTATTAACCTTAGGATAGTAAACCGCTTAATGGCTTAGTAAAAGAAGTTAAATAAGGATAAAGAGAAGGTAGAGGATTATTTACTAGAGTTATAGTCTTAACTTTCTTTAGTAGTGAATCGTTTAATAAGGATTTAGAAAATTCATTATTAAGTGAAGGATAAGAGCTATAAGTTATTTAAGTATAGAATATAGGAGCTAAATAAGGAGGATAATATCCTTCCTACCCTAGACTCTTATAAGTATTAGATAGCTTATAATCTTTAGGCTCTAGGTGTTCTTAATAACCCTAACTAGGCCTAATTTAGTGTTAGGGATTTCTCTAATCTAGGTCCCTTAGTTATACCTACTAATACTCTTATAGGAGGTCCTAGTAGTACTAGAGGTTCTTAATTAGTTCCTATATATTTTTAGAGTTTAGGTATCCTTTCTATTTAATAAGATAATAACGATTCTTTTCTATACTTTATACTTTAAGTATTTTCTTAACTTTATATTCATTTATATCTTTAATAGTAACGTCTATAGTGAGTATTATATTACTTAGTGCTTTTTCTAATAATAAAATATAAAACGTAGGATGTATCTTTATTCCCTTAGATAATAATAGTTTATAGTTAATACTATTAAAAGGTTTTACTTAACTTTTATAATTTCTATAAGACATTTTTAGAAGTTTAATATAAAGAGCTTATTTTAATCTATTATTAACTTTATAAGTACTCTATATTATATAATAATTATCTTAAAGAATATATATACTAATTCTTTTATATTACTTAATTCTATATATAGGATATAATAAGTATATTTTATTAATTTATTAATAATAACTCTTATTAATAATAACTAGGATACTATTATAGTATACTCCTATTATAGGTTCTTTAGATTTTAGTAATTTAATAATAAAGTCTATAGTGACTATTTACTATACTCTCTCTAGTAGTAGTATTAGTTATAGTTCCCTATAAGGTGTGTGTTATACTATCTTAGCTTTATTATAGATATTATATTTCTTAATAACTTTCTATACTATTTTCCTACTTTCTAGGAAATTATATAATCTTCTTAATCTATTAATTGTTTTCCCTACACCCTAATGTCTATATAATAGGTGTTTATATATTTCCTTAATAAGCTATTCTTAAAGTGTACTAAGAATATACTAATGTTTATTAAATAAGTAGTTACTTCTACTTTTAGTTATATATAGCTTTATTTCCTAATTATCTAAGTAGCTATCTTTCTTTATATAAGACATAATATATTATATCTATATATTATCTAGTTTAACTTACTAGGTGGCGCTAATTTCCCTAGTACTTAGAATAAGGTTCTTATCCTTATTATACTTAAGTAGTAAGTATTTAACTATTACTTCTATTAACTTTAAGTCTTCATATTAGCTTAGAGTGTCTACTCTACTATTAAGTGATCCTTTCTAATAGAGGATCTTAAAATTATAATCTATAAGGGTTTTATACTATCTAATTTATTATTTATTTAAATCCTTTATAGTTATAAACGTAGTTAGGTTCTTATAATTAGAATAAACTATAACCTTATAGTTTACACCCACTAAGTAGTATTACTATTCTTTAAATACTTAGATAATAACTATAAGTTCTTTATTATATATACTATAGTTAAGTTCTAGTTTATTAAGTTTCTTTAATAAGAATATAATAGGGTAAAGTCTCCTTTTATTATCCCTTTATCTAAGCTATCCTCTAATAGTATAATTAGATATATTAGTTTCTACTTTAAATAGTTTACTTAGATTAGCTATAAGAAGAACTAGCTCTTTTAGGATTTTATCCTTTAGGTCTTAGAATACCTTAGCTTCCTCTTCTATCTATTTAAACTCACTATCCTTCTTTATAAGATTAGTTAGTAGAATAGTGATTTCCCTAAACTTATAGATAAATCTTTAGTAGAAGTTAGTGAACCTAAGAAATCCTCTAACTTCTCTAATATTAGTGGGTTTAGGCTATTTATAAACGTTTATAATTTTAGATAGACTTATCCTAATTTATCCTAGTGTAATTTTATATCCTAAGAATTTAACTTTCTATTAATAGAACTTACTCTTTATTCCTTTAACTAGGAGTTTATTATCCTATAATACCTATAGTACTTTATATATATATTACTTATACTCCTTAAGAGTATTAGAATAGATAAGAATATTATTTAGGTAGATAATAATAAATTTATTAAGTTACTTTCTTAATACTATATTAATTATAGTTTAGAAAGTTATAGGTGCGTTAGTAAGACTAAAAGGTATTACTAGGTATTTAAAGTGTCCTCTTATAGTTTAAAAGGCGGTTTTCTACTTATAACTATCCACTATACGGATAAGGTTATAAGCCCCTTTTAGATTAAGGGTAGTAAACCATTAAGCTTACCCTAGTTTATCTTAAATCTCTATAATAAGTAGTAATAGGTATTAGTTTTTAATTATAATCTCATTTATTTTCTAATAGTTAATATATAGTTATAGCTTCCTATTTTTCTTTAGTACCTATAAGATTAGGTGTCCTACTAGTGACTCTAATAGTCGTATATATCCCTTCTATAATATTTCCTCTAAATATTCTTTAAGTACTTTATCTTACTTAGGATTAGTAAGATAGACTTTATTAAACGTTAGTTCTTTACTAGGCTAGAGTTTAATCTTATAGTCCTAGTATAAATAATACTCTAGTAGTTAGTCCTATTTCTAGCTCTCTACTAAATAGCTTACTATACTTTAAGTATTCTTTAGGAATCTCTATTATACTAGCTTTTAGCTTTTAAGTGATTATATATACTCCTTAAGGCTAGTTATAATTTAGGGAAGGTGCCTTTTATTAGCCACTCTCCTTTCTATAATCACATCCTAATAGATCCTACTAAAGTTAGTCTATTCTCTAGTTAACTTAGGGATTACTTACTTATAACTAGGGTATCCTTAATATAATATTATGTTTTAAAATCTCTATAATATCTAAAGAGAGAATATAGTTTATACCTTAGATAGATATAGGAAGTTATATAGTTTCCTAATCCACTACTCTATAGCTATACTTAATAGCTTCTCCTTCTATATTTATAAGTTAGTAGGGCTCGTTTTTCTTCTTCTAAAGCAATTATAACTTATTAATAAGTTTTAGTGAGATATAGTTTCCTTATACTCTACTATTAATTATTACTTAGATTAGTCTTCCTTTAATAAGGATATTAACTATAAAGTGTATAGTACTATTAATGTTTATAGTATATAGAGACCTATTAGATCCTTATTAATAAATTAGTCCTAATAGTAATAATAGTTATTATTTCCTAATCCTTTAGCTTTTTCTTTAGTTATTTATTCTAATAACCTTTTATCCTATTAGTATTAGTCTATTCCTCTTTTTATATATTCTTCTTAGTGCTTATATTAGTAATAGTCTTCTAACTATTCTATAGGAGCTAGGCTATAATCTAGTTACTTACCCTTTATATTAATTAGACTTAGGCTAGGTGAGTCTCTCTTTATTATATAGTTTCCTCTATTCTTATATTATAAGGTTATAGTGTAGATAGTATATAGGTTTTTATCCTTAATATAGTAAC